ACGTAACTTTATTAATTCTGGGTACTAATAGTAAGCCAGCACCTTGTGATCTAAGTAGGCGTGATGGTTCATAGTGAGAGAGAAGTTCACTCAGGTACTGAGGGGCCGTTTAGAGCTTTATAAGTCAGCAAGAGAATTTTATAATCAATGTGAAATTTAACTGGTAACCAGTGTAAGGTTGATTTAAAACTGGGCTGATATGGTCAAACTTTCTGTTTCTTGTAAGAACTCTGGCTGCAGCGTTCTGGACTAGCTGAAGCTTGTTAAGGCTTTTGCTGGGACGTCCAGCCAGCAGGACATTACAGTAATCCAGCCTTGAAGTAATAAATGCATGAACTAACTTTTCTGCATCCTGTAGAGAGAATGCATTTCTCAATTTAGCAATATTGCGGAGATGCAGGAAGGCTGTTCTAGTAATGTTAGTTATATGTGTGTCGAAGGACAGATCAGCATCTATAATGACACCAAGGCTTTTTACAGAGGAGCTGGATGCAGCTGAGAAATTGTTTAAGTGTAAAATTAGACAGTCTGTTTCTAGCTGCTTTAGGGCCAAGAAGCAGAACCTCTGTTTTATCTGAGTTAAGTAGCAAAAAATTACTTGACATCCAGTCTTTTGTGTCTTTTATACAGTCCTCAATCTTGCTAAGTTTGATTTTATCGTCCAGTTTGCTTAATATATATAACTGAGTGTCATCGGCATAGCAGTGGAAATTTATGCCGTGTTTACTGATAATGGTGCCCAGTGGTAGCATATATATTGTGAAATAATATAGGTCCTAAAACAGAGCCTTGTGGAACACCATACTTTACTTTTGTGAGGGCAGATGATTCAGTTTGAGAGTGAGAGTGTCACTACCTGATCTACGCCCCCTGCCTAAATTGCACAGCAATACGCACCAATGTCACATATGCATAGAGAACATTGGGCCTCATTCTGCAATATCTAAGTTTTTTTTAAACGTGTTCTTGAGAAAGATCCTAAGAAAAAGTCTACGTCAGATTTATGACGTGTTCTTAAAGCGCAGAACTGTTCTCACCTTTGTGCTCTTGAGTGTGTGTAGATTCTGTTATTACCTAAGAACAAATCTCAAATAAGAAAACATTGGTAAATGTCAATCTTTTTTATAAAAACTGTGTAAGTGGGTTTTAAGAAGAAATTTCATCTTAAGAACGGTGGCTGGATGAGGCCTATTACTTTTATCGGCACCACCTATCAAGAAAATGAGCCAATCAGCTTGCTGGTAAAGCCTCCTGTGGAAAAAGTCCCCTTCATTGCACGTCTAACCGGTATATGTTGATACCACAACCACAGACGGACAAAAACACAGCATTGTGTTGTCATTGTGAGGATTTTATTCTGATGCCAGAAATAATACAGCCTTTTAGTATTGATTTAGTGAACCGCTGCTTCCTGTCCTCACCTCCTCGTATGAGACAAAAGTCAAAGGGGTGACATATGGCTTATAGCAAAAATAATACATAATTATTATAATTCAAAAACAACAGCTGATTTAAGGAAATAATTACTTAGCTTTGTCTGTGTGACAGTGTCTGACCTCAGGGGTAGGTTGGGCTCTAACCTCGCTCTGGATAACAGCACCTGCTAAATGCCGTAAATATAAGTGCTTCCTGTCCTCACCTCCTCGTATGAGATAAAAATCAAAGGGGTGACATATGGCTTATAGCAAAGGTAATATAATTGTTATAATTCAAAAACAACAGCTGTTTTACAGACAGATACAATAATGATGTCACTCTGCTGCGCTCTGCTGTGTTAGCATAACAGTAGTGCTATAATAGAGGATGTTTCAGGCTTTAATAGCATCACACATGAAATGATGCAAACCTGATAAACCTTTTTTAATATTGGTTAACGATCCCTGCTTCTTCTCTCCTCTCCTTACCTCATATGAAAGGAATATAAAGGAATAAGCGTAGCTGACTAGTACACTGTGTGGATTATGCTGTATGATATTAGCAATATGTGCATGAGTATAATTCACCATCAGTGAAATATGATACAGCACAAAAGCTGAAAATGAAACCAGGAACATTTTATATATGGACAGCATGGTGGCACAGCCCTGTGGCCTCACAGCAAGGGGGGCCAGGGTTCGATTCCCCAGCCGGGCAACCAGGGTCCTTTCTGAGTGGAGTTTGCATGTTTTCCCTGTGTCTGTGTGGGTTTCCTCCCACAGTCCAAAGACATAGTCAGGCCAACTGGACATGCTAAATTGTCCCCAGGTGTGAATGTGTGTGAATGTATATGTCTGTGTGTCTCCCCTGTGGTGGACTGGTGACCTGTTCATATCCGTGCCTTCCGCCCAATGAGTGCTGAGATAGGCTCCAGCTCCCACTGTGACCGAGGAGGATAAGCGGCTATGTATGAATGAATGAATGAATGTATGTGTACGTATTTACATATAAAGCAAAGTGATTTTTCATGCACTGAAAATCTAGGATTAATAGGATTAATAAAGATTGAATGTGAGGCACAATCTGATACCTACCTCCTCATATGTGACACAAGTCAGAAGGGAGGAAGCAGGGGAAGGGAGAAGAGGGTGTCCCAACATAAACTGCACCAATACAGATTATATTATGGAGAATAATTGCACAAAATTATAACACTAGCATATTACTGTTGTCTTGTATCTCCAAAATGATAACTTTACAGGAAAAGGAAAAAACCTTCTTTACTTTTAATGTAAGTCAATGGAACCAGATGTTTTTCCAAGTCATTTTGGGTCATTTCTTTTGGTCCATTTATCATGAAATTTAAAAACAATGTAAAGGACCACAGGTATTTTCAAAATATGTCAAAAACTGAAAAACAAAAATGGAGATCTGAGGTTTTGTCCCGACAGCAGTGATATGTTGACTTTTAACTCTAGTAACCAAAACAAGTTGTGCATTATTTGAGCCAAACGCCACAAACTATTTATGCTGGTTTTGTCAGATTTTAGCAGTGATTTCAAATATGCTTCTGAAACATTAACTTTTATTTTTGGTTTTATGGGTCTCCCCCCATTCAAAGAGAGAGAAGCCTGGTCTTAGATGAGTGCATATGACTGCCTGGCAGACAAGTAGATAGGCTTTCCTATAAGGACTTTGGTCATATTCACCAACAGTGATTGTGTGTTTTTTGCACTCAGCCCTGCTTGTTTGGTGAGATATCCTAATTGTTTATCCATGAAGACACAGCTTTAATGTGTGATTATCCGCCTGAGTGGTTATGCTTTATGCAAGAGAGCGTTCTCAGTCTGTATGGGCACTACAATAACAACATGAACAAAGCTGGGCCAAATATAGGCTCAGTATCAAATGGCCACCCACTCCCTATGTAACACACTACGTAGGTCATTACGTAACAGCTTCCATGCACAAACGGTGCATTATGTATATAAGGATAGACATTTATATTCAGTCAAAGCTGCACAACATCCAGTCTAACACTGAGTGCACTGTTTGGTGTAGAGGCCATGGTTTTATGACTTATGCAGTGCACTAGGGAGATGAGGAGACATCTGAGATTCAGACATGCTCTCCTGCTAAGCCCAAATGACAGTAACAGGTTTCTGTCCATCTCTCTTGGCTGCCTGGGCTCTGACCGTCTTTTCACTCATAGAAAGACAGAAACTTATAGCCAAGTAGCTTTAAACTATCATTCTTCTTTAGTGAATAAAATGTTTAAGTGGAACCATGAACTCTCAAAGAACCTTTGCATGATTGTTTTTTTTTCCTTCATGAAAGTTCTTCATAATGTGCTGTAGATGGTTCTGTATGAGACCCTTTCTGAAAATGGCTCTATATAGCACCAAAAAGGGTTCTTCTATTGCTATTCTCCTAAACATGGTTCTTCAAGGGTTCTTTGCTGAGGAAACCGAAGATTCTTTGCTTAAAGAATCCTTTGCATGGGTAAAGGGTTCTCTGCATTAAGAGTTCTTTAGAATGTGCTGTGATTTTTGAAAGGGACTCTATATAGCACCCAAAAGGGTTCGTCTGTTGTTACAATGTCAAGCTTATAACAATGTAGAACCCCTTTTCAAAAAGGTTTTATATAGAACCATATACAGCACATTCTCCATCAATCTGATGCAAAGAACACATAAATCATGCAAAGTGTTCTTTTGAGTGTTCATGGTTCTATATAGAACCATTTTCTTTACTAAAGAACACTTGAACGATCTTTTTTAAAAGTGTAGGAAAGAGAATAAGACTACTTATATATTGATTTCAGTGTTAAACACTGCTTTAATTTTTAAAGTGATTTTCAATTTGATTTTTAATTTTTGGGCCTCTTTCACCCACTTACTGAAGATTCTGACGTTCACCATTTTCTTATTTGGGATTTGTTCTTAGGTAAGAACAGAATCTACACACACTCTTTGGGTTTATTAAGCTGAAGAGGATTGTGTGACACATTTTTACTATAAAGGGATTTTACTGGGGATTTCCCTTAAAGGACAATTCCACCATTTTTTTCAAATTTTCCATACAATTTAATTATTCAAATCTAAACAAACTGAAAAACAAATTTAAACAATGCAATTATAGCCATTTTATTTACTATCCATAATCTCCAGTGGACCTACATGTGTCTCCTGCAATGTTGACAATGCAAAAATAGTTAAACTCAGATTTTCTTTGGGGACAATTTTGCCTTTCAACACTCATGTATCAGTCCACCATGTATGGATTTTAAAAAGTACATTTTAAGTCAACCATAATTGCAAAACAGTGTCTCAGACATCAGGCAGTGAATTCATTTCATGTAGTAACTTTCTGTGAGGGAGCTTTTAGAGGTGGACGTCTGGTTCCTATCACCACCACTGTGAACAATTCACAACCACTTAATTAGGCAGAAATTTTTAAATATTGGTGGAGTTCCCCTTGAGGTCATGAAAGTCAGTTCCACAGGAACCTCTTAAGATGCAGAAACACTGGGAAATATTTCTGTGTGATTAAGACTGTGGTGATTGCTGTTCCCTCTTTTTCAGTGATATGTCTGGCCTGGCGGTCAGTTTGCAGCAGGATATCTTCAGGCTGTTTGTCAGTGATGAGGCCATGTATTTCTCCAGACCTCTGCGCAAGTGAGCAGAACCTTCTGAGAAAGATCTGTGATTCTGAAGGTACAGGCTTGTTTTTGTTACATACTGTGCTCGTTTGGGTTCACAGGGGTGTTCCTCTCATTTCTAGACCAGTCCAATCATATCAAGTGATCATACATTAGTTGCAATAACATGTTCAAATGTCTCTGTGCAATATGAAAACTCAATTTGAGAGCGATAGCCCACAGCGCATTCTTAGTAAACCATTGGCCTTTCTTACCTTGTCATTCAGGTTGGAGTAGATTCAGTTATTTTTTTGTTGCTGTATCATCATTTGAAATGATGACATTGCCAGTACTTCATGTTGGAAAGAAGAGAGGAACAAAAAATGTGAAAGGATGGTGTCCCTGCTAGGATCTCACAGTCAAATCAGCATTTTTGAAAAATCACTGTGTTAGTGGATCAAATGAGAAGAAAATAAAGACAGTATATTTTTTATCATCCAGCATTTTTATGTTGATCAAAATTAGATAAATTCCATATATAACTACATACTGTACTGTGCAAAAGTCAGAAACTACCCTCTATTTAACTTCCAGTCAAAACAGCCATTAAGTCCAAGTTATTCATTTTTCAGGAGATCTCATCACAGGATATTAGATAAGAGAAAATGGGGCTCCTAACAACCACCTGGAAGACCTGGTAGACACCAAAACTGCCCCCGTCAGATAAACAGCACTTAAAGCTTTCATCTCTGAGAGAGAGGAGAAAATCAAGCTGCTTCAGATCTGGAAACATCCTCAGGTGTTTCTGTCCATCCTTCCACTGTGAGAAGACGACTCAGCGCTGTGGGTCTGAAAGGATGTGTAGCTGATCAAGAAGAGCCTCACTGAGAAAAGGAGACGGACACATCAAACAAAGAAGCTGAACGATGGACTGACCACCCCAGAGTCCAGACCTCAACATCACTGAATGTGTTTGATTACTTCAGAAAATGATCAACCAGCTTCTCAGACTGAACTTTGGAGGTGTGTCTGCAGATTCTTTGAAAGACTGAAAGTGAGTCTCCTGAAAAGAATGGAAGCTGGAATAAAGGGAAAGAGTCACCATTAAATACTGAAAATGTGAAATTAAATTTAGTTAAATTAATGTTTTCTGTGTTTTTCTGAAGCTGAAAAAGAAATAACTTTTACTTAATGGCCGTTTTTGATTGAAAATGAAGTAAATGAAGGGTGACTGACTCTTGCACAGTACAGTATAACACAGCACTTAGTAAGTAATCTGATGGAAGTTATGATCCAGAAAGCTCTACACACTTAATGATGGTTTTCAAGTTCTATACAGAACCCCGAACACTCAAAAGAACCCTTTGCTGGATTACAGGGTTTTCTGAATCATGAAATAGTTCTGCAGATTGATGGAGAATATGCTGTAGGTGGCACTATACAGAACCTTTTTGCAAACGATTCTATACAGCACAAAAAAGGGTTCTTCTATGGTTAGAAGCCCAAAATCGTTGCAATAGAAGAATCCTTTTTGGTTCTATATAGAACTCTAAAGGTGCTAAAAAAGCCTTCTTTGAAGTGATGTCGTCATAACCACTGTTAGATCCTTAAAGAGCTGTTCAGTATCCCTTTTTGGTGCTATATAGAACTATACATAACACCTTCCCCATCAGTCTGGAGCACCATTGCACCATGCAAAGAACCATGTAAGCATGAAATGGTTCTATGTAGAACCATTGCACTTACTATAGATCCCTTGAAGAAACATATTTTTAAGAGTGTAGTGAAGGGGTTCTTCAGATTGATGGAAAATGTTTATATGGGTTCTTTTATTGTTATGATTGTATACAAGCTTGTATCCAATAGACAAACTCTTTTTGGTGCTCTATAGAACCCTTTTCAAAAAGGTTCTATAAAAAACATATACAGCACATTCTCCATCAATCTGAAGCATTCACAGTGTAAAGAACCTTTAAGTCATGCAAAGGGTTCTTTGAGTGTTCATGGTTTGATATAGAACCATCGTCTTTACCAAAGAACCCTTAAAGAACCGTCTTTTTTAAGTGTGATGCCTCAAAAGAGATTGATGGGTCTCAGACTGCAGAGGGAGAAGAACATACATAATTAAAGGTTTTCCTTAGAACTGTACATCAAAGCGAAGACCAGTTCAGGCCTGTATTGTTCAGAGTGTGTTTCAGATACTCTGTGTGGATCAGGACTGAAGGTCCAGCAGTAAAACCTGCTTTTCTGCTTTCCTCTTGTCGTCAGACGGCAGGTGTGAACTGCAGGGCTCTGAGCGCTGTAATGTGACCATCCTGACCATATTAGGCCACTCGCCTTCGTGGAGAGAGTGCGTGTGTGCTGATGAGGACTCGTGCAGCGCTCTACAGCTGCTGGCTTCACACTGCCTTTCACATTTGGGTACAGTACGCAGTAAATGGTGTTTCTAACAGAACCAGAATCACTTTGTTTCTCCTAGTGGGCTACATGAGTTGTCTTGTTGAGTGCATTTAAAAATAACTGAACTTAAATCAGTGATTTTTCCAGCAGGTGATGAGGCTTTACGTGCACCTGACAAGTTCAGTGTGGCAGCCCAACAGGAGAGCAGCCAGATCAGTGGTGTGTGTCATCAATTACTTCATTACATGTTTGGAATCACCATTCAAAAGCTTTGACTGAGTTTTTTTTTTAGTAGTATGAAATAATAGATGTATAAAATGAGTAGATTTATGTATAAAATCGGACAGTCTGCTCCTAATATGTTGATCCTGTGCGACTTCACAGCTTTCAAGTAAACAGTAGGAAGTTATCTGTAAAAAAAATAATAATAATAAATTAGCTTTTGAAATATCGGATCGGTATCGCTTCGGCTGATACACGAGATTTAAACATCGATATTGGTATCAGAAAAGAAAATCGTGCCATCCCTAAACACACTAGATCACATTTGCTGTGTATATACTGCAAAATTAAGATTTTTTTAGGTGCAGAAGGCGCTGCAGATGATTGTATAATGACTGCAATATATATGGGATCAAGAATAGTTATAATAAAATTAATATCCTGAAGGCCTCGTATTTCAAGACATCAAATCTCAAAGCATGTAACAAAATATTGTGAATAATTACAGTACAGTATTTGTTATTTAATAACATCTTGATATTTCCAAAATACTCGGAATATTGCATATATAAAATATCTTTTGGTGTCTAATTTATAATATTTAAAACATTTAGATTACAGTACTGTGCAAAATTCATAGATCACACTTTTATTTGTCTATTTCCAGTCAAAATAGCCGTTAAGCAAATAAGCATTTTTCAGCATCAGGAAAATGTAGAAAATATATATCTGGCAGAAAATGACAAAGAAGCCTCAATAAATATAAGATCAATCAGGCTTTTAACGCAATGAACGACATGACAAACAGTTAAAGTCAGAGACCTCCATTCATTTATTAAATTTCCATCGAAACAGTCTTTAAGTTCAAGTAATTCATTTTTCAGTTTCATGATTTTTTTTTTTTTTCCAGTGTTGAGTGAGTCACATTATACCTTTTTATTCCAGCTTCCACTCTTTTCAGGAGACTCACTTTCAGTTCCTCAAAGAATCTGCAGACACACCTCCAAAGTTCAGTCTTAGAAGCTGGTTGATCATTTTCTGAAGTAATCAAGCACATTCAGTGGTGTTGAGGTCTGGACTCTGGGGTGGTCAGTCCATTGTTCAGCTTCTTTGTTTGATGTGTCCGTCTCCTTTTCTCAGTGAGGTTCTTCTTGATCAGCTACACATCCTTTCAGACCCACAGCGCTGAGTCGTCTTCTCACGGTGGAAGGATGGACAGAAACACCTGTGGATGTTTTCAGATCTGAAGCAGCTTGATTTTCTCCTCTCTCTCAGAGATGAAAGCTTTCAGTGCTGTTTATCTGATGGGGGCAGTTTTGGGGTCTACCAGGCCTTCCAGGTGGTTGTTAGGAGCCCCATTTTCTCTGGAGCTTTTCATCAGTTTTTGAACTCCAGTTTTGGACTTTCTCCTCCCTTTTGCAAGTGAACTATTTTATATTTAATCTTATTAGAAATATCTCTGAAATATCTCTTGTACTTAATGACCTTTTTAATTGGAAATTAGATACATGAAAGGTGGTTTCTGACTTTTGAACAGTACAGTACATTGTTTAAGTTATTGTATATGTATAAAAATAGTAAAAATTTATTATTATGACAAGGGATATCAAACTTTTGAATAGTAGTGTGTTATTACTCTACATACTGTAAAGTATGCCATGTTAAATTGCAGTTTCATAAGCATGTTTGATGTTTTAAAGCATGTCTGATATTTTCCAGCAAATGAACACAAGCAGCTGAAGGCAGAATGGAGATCGAGCAGTCTTTTAGGACACGGTAATATCTGAATCTAAGATTAAAGTGTATGCTAAATATCTACCCAGTGTACCTCTCACCTTATCCTCCCTCAATTCCCCCCCAAACTCAGTGCCTGGTCCGAACTCGTCGTGTCTTCAGGAGATGACTCTCTGCGTTCAGGACAAGATATGCAACAGGCACCTGGTGCCGTTTGTCCAGTCCTGCTCTGATCCTCAGTGCGAGGACAGTCGCTGCAGGCTGGCCACGAGGCGCTTCTTCTCAGGTCTGCCTCAGACTGTGGCCGAGACGCTGGTGTTCTGTGAGTGTGAGCGAGACGACCAGGACTGCCAGGACGTCCAAAACACTCTTTATTCCAGCTCCTGCTCAGGAGGCCATACACTGCCATGGAACTGCTTAGAGATGCTGGACAGCTGCACTGGAGACGAGCTCTGCAGGTTTGGCCGTAATAGATGCGCACCAGTGGTGTCAAAGTTAACCCTTGTGTGGTGTCGATGTGTTTGTGTTTGTTACTCAGTGGTCTGGTGGACCCACCACATTATTGTGTTTTAAATCAATACAGCCATAACAATTGATGTACAAATACCAGATGTTTAAAATATCACAAGTGTCCAGCGTAGGGTTCTCCTTTAGCAGCTGTAGCCAGTCAGCAGCCTGTCCATGTTGTCCACCTTCACACACACACACACACACACACACACACACACACATATATACGAACACATACACACACTCACTTTATTTTTATATGTTCTTCACAGAAAATAAGCAAAGGCCAAGGAATCTGGGGTTGAAATAACAATAAATCACATTTTTTTCTATAGGTAAACATTAAAAATTGTCTCCACAGACCTGAACACCACACAACGGTTAAAGTGATAATAAGGTCGCAACATGATACGTTATTAATGACACTAATTTTTAATGCTCCCCACTTCTATGACCTACTCTCATTCAAATATTGCTTTTACACAGTAAGTTCCTTTACAGCTCGCTTGATAAAATCAAAGTTATTTCCATCTACTGCCTTGGTGAATTTGTTTATCACTGAAGCATGTTGAGTCTGAAGTGTCATTGCATTACATGCAGTTACTGTTGTTCTCACTGGGTGTCGGCGATGGAAACTGCGTTAACTTTATTTTCATGGAAATGTGATTTAATCATGATTCATTGTTTTAATTTGGTTTAACATACATACATATACGCATGTACTACATCATTGTCCAACAAAAATACTGCTGATGTTGAAACAAAACCCTTGTATCTCCATTTTTTTCAGTTTTTGACATGATTTGAAAATGCTAGTTGCCCTTTAGATTCTGTTTAAATTTTATGATAAACAGACTAAAAGAAATGCCCCTCTGAGTTACTTGGAAAAAAGTCTGATTACATTGAGTGCATGTACATGCACTCAGTAATCCGATCATAATCAGATTTCTGTAGATATCTGATTATTCAAGTGGTCATGTAAACACCATACTCCAATCTAGAAATCCGATTAAGAAATCCAATAAAGAGAGCTGGGTTTTAGCTCAGTAATCAGATTTCTCAGCACATGTAAACTCTCTTACTCTGATTTCTTTCGGATTTCTCAGCCTGCGCATGTGCAGAACAGACTGCCGTACCGGAAATAAGAAAGCAGTGTTGCCGTGAGACGCAGCAAAACACTTTTGGAGCGACGACACAATCAACTACATGCTTGATGAAATTAAGGATTTAAATACTCTTCATCTTCTAGATGATGTATGTTCATATTTTCACGTAAAGTGGCACAAACAAAAAAAAGCCGCATCATGAAGTTTGAGTTCACGTTACGTTTATGTCACATCTTCTTCTGTAAGTTTAATGGCTGTGTCTGATCCACTCGCACCAGCGCAACACATGCTTACCCACCACCACCATGTCAGTGTGACTGCAGTGCTGACAATGACCCACCACCCACCACATACCTGCGCTGTGGGGGTCCTGACCATTGAAGAACTACAGATGGACTACAGTCTGTAACTGTAGAACTACAAAGTGCTCCTATGTGGTCAGTGGAGCTGATAAAATGGACAATAAGCGTAGAAACAAGGAGGTGGTTTTAATGTTATGGCTGATCAGTGTATTAATTTTATAGCTGTAACTGAAACATTCATAGACGTTAGTGAATAATAAGTCCCAAAGGAAACTGCAAGAAATAAATAACGAATTACGTAATTAATAATAAATTGTACAGCAATTTAATGTACACTGTTACCACCATTAAACTAGTACAAATAGATGAGAATAAATAAGAAATATAAATGAGAATAAATGAGAAAACAACTAAAAGACACATACAGTACATGGAGCTGCTGTAACAGGCTGCCTCCTGGTGCAGTGCCAGTAATCTGAAGAATTAATGTTCCACACATTAGATATAGACATATTGTTCAATTAGTAATCATATTATGCAGTAACTGCTATGAAACCACTAGGTAAAGTGTGTTACAAGATCGAGGACCATCCACCAGGTGCTTAGACTTTAAAGGGTTAACAGTTAACACCAGTCTTTGCCACACAGCTTTGTTTTATATGCACTTATAGCAGGATTATGCCCATCTGCTCCCTCCATAGAACGTCGGGGAGGGGTAGACGGCACTGTTTACTCGTGCTCATCAATTTCTATAAACGGTTTAAGAGCTGCACTGATGGATGTGAAGAGCTGCTGGTAAAAACGCACTCGCTTGTGTTAACAGGCAGACGTTCGAAGGGTTCCTGTCCAACTGCTTTGGCCAAGAAGGTGCTCCGTTAAGTGGATATTCTACCAGGGACTTGATACACCTCATAGATCTCGACATTTTCCTCAGTGGAGATAAAGAATGCAGGATGGCCTTCGTGGCTACAATGGGGTCTATACTGCAGAGTCCATGCACCTGCCATGGACTGCACCGTGATGATCTTTACAGATGCAATATACTCCAGCAGGCAATACAAAACAGATCCCACTTCAGTAAGTATTTACGCACAGTCACTATTTCACCACTCTCCAGGCCTGGCTGGCCACAGCAGCTCTAAGACACCTGGATCAAGCCATCAGCACTTTTTCAGTCTTTTCATGGCTTACAACAGATGTGTAGGAGCAGGACAAGAGCATTAAACTATGAAATATTACGGTCCTTCTGCAATGAAAGTAATTGTACTGCAGGTCACCAGGGTCGGAAGTTTGAAATCATTGTTTTCAATAAAACAACAGTGCTATACAAACATCAGAGACCACTTTCCACTTATTTCCAGTCAAAAGTGGCCACAAGTTATTCATTTTTCAGGAGATTATGTATAAAATAGTCCACTTGCTTAACGAAGGAGAAATTCAAACTGAAAAAAACAGAGTTTCCAAAACTGGAGTTCAGAAAATGATTAAAAGCTACAAAGAAAATGAGGCTCCTAACAACTACCTGGAAGAGCTATTAGACCCCAAAACTGCCCCCATCAGATAAACAGCACTTAAAGCTTTCATCTTTGAGAGAGAGGAGAAAATCAAGCTGCTTCAGATCTGAAAACATCCACAGGTGTTTCTGTCCATCCTTCCACTGTGAGAAGACGACTCAGCGCTGTGGGTCTGAAAGGATGTGTAGCTGTTCAAGAAGAACCTCACTGAGGAAAGGAGACGGACACATCAAACAAAGAAGCTGAACGATGGACTGACCACACCAGAGTCCAGACCTCAACACCGCTGAATGTGTTTGGTTACTTCAGAAAATGATCAACCAGCTTCTCAGACTGAACTTTGGAGGTGTGTCTGCAGATTCTTTGAGGAACTGAAAGTGAGGGCAGCACGGTGGCGCAGTGGGTAGTGCTGTTGCCTCACAGCAAGAATGGCCTGGGTTTGATTCCCGGCCGGCTGACCAGGGTCCTTTCTGTGTGGAGTTTGCCTGTTCTCCCCGTGTCTGCATGGGTTTCCTCCGGGTACTCCGGTTTCCTCCCACAGTCCAAAAACATGCAGTCAGGCCAATTGGACATGCTGAACTGCCCCTAGGTGTGAGTGTGTGTGAATGTGTATGTATGTATGTCTGTCTGTCTGTCTGTCTGCCCTGCGATGGACAGGCAACCTGTCCAGGGTTTATTCTGCCTTCCGCCCAATGACGGCTGGGATAGGCTCCAGCACCCCACCGCGACCCAGAAGGATAAGCGGTTTAGATTATGTATGTAAGTATGTATGTATGTACTGAAAGTGAGTCTCCTGAAATGAATGGAAGCTGTAATGAAGGTAAAGAATGGAAACACTCTTTGACAAATTAAAATCATATATTATTTAATGTTCTGTTTTCTGTTTTTTTTTTTCCTGATGCTGAAAAATGAATAATTTGAACTTATTGACTATTTTGACTGGAAATAAATACATAAAAAGTGGTCTCTGACTTTTACACAGTACTGTATATAAAAGACTCTAGTGGGATGCCAGATGTTAGTTGTAGATGTTTTAATTGCATAGCAATTAAATTGCAAATACTGAGGACGGCAACACAATTATGATGTGACTCAAAATATTTATTCCAATTATATATGTCAATGTATGTATTTACTTATTTATTTATTTGTTTAATTATTTATTCATGTATTTTGCATTTTATATTTTCAGTGAGGTCCCCTTATAATTTAATCTTAATTACAAAGCTGAAAGGCAGTGTGAGCCTCTACAGAAATGGCAGTATCTGTTCTTGATGGTTTGACCTCTTCTAATTCCAGGACTTCAAGAAACAAAGAAAAACTTTTCTTCTACACAGTCACAAGTAAATAAATCAGAGCAGAGCCGTTTGTGGTTTTATGGTAAGATGATTTTGCTTGTTGCACTTGCATGATTATCTCTATATATTATCTTTCTTAAAACTGACCAGTATATTTCTTTATTTATGACAGAACAGCTGTGGTACTTCTTGACCACCGTCTTTGTGGTGGTGGTGGTGGTAATATTAACAGTGATTGCCATTGCTTTACATAAACTGGGGTAAGCACCGACTGAGACCATCCTTTATTTAATTAATTTACAGTCAGAACTGCCATTAAGCACAATTATTCATTTTTCAGTAAAATTACACAGAAATTAAACTTTTTTTTTTCAGTATTTAGCATGTCCACACTTTCCCTTTATTACAGCTAGCACAAGTAACCAAATGACACCCAAAAAGGGGCCCAAAAAAGCCACAAAGTAAAAAAAAATAGGCTGAGATATATTATATTATATTATATTATGTTATTATATGATGTTATATTAAATTATATTATATTATATATAATATAAGTTTTATATATATATATATATATATATATATATAAGTTTCTTCTTTATTTGCCAAACACAGGTGCTCAAGTGCAAAGTGCATGGTTAAGATAAAAACAAGGCAGCAAAGGTTTCATTCAACAGACTTTTATTAGTGCTTTATTACAGCTTCTATTCTTTTCAGAAGACTTGCATTCAGTGATGTTGAGGTCTGGACTCTGGGGTGGTCAGTCCGTTGTTCTGAGAACACCAGCAGCTTCTTTGTTTCATTTTAATCTAGTCTCTTTAAGCCCGTAAAGACTTTTTTTTTTTCAGCAACCTTTTTCCAGTTTTGGAAACTCCTTGTTTTGTTTTTTTTATGGTGACTTTTTCCTTCCTTATGTAAGTGGATTATTGTATATTTAATTTCCTATTGTATATTTAATAACATGCTTTATGTCCAATTTTACTGGAAATTAATAAGTGAAGGGTGGTCTCTGACTTTTGCACACTTTTGTAAGTCATAGGCTAAGTATCACTGAGCACTGCTTCAGATAAGAGGTTGCCATGTTTCTCTTTCTTACCCTTAGGGGAACGAACAGCTTGTCCAAGCAAGGAAGATACAGTCCTCCAGAGGATTCCACAAAATCACTCGTCCTGTAGTTTTCTGATGTCCCTTTAAATGTCCAGAGCCAATCGTCAGGCCCAAAGCGTTATTATACACTTCTATAACCTAAGAATAGCTCAGCCAGTTTGCACTGAAGTCTCTGTAGTTACTGAATAATAAGCCTTAGTATGTAATAAGCCTATTATTTTAAGGGGTTAACTCATTTTTGTGTACATACAAAGCATATGATTTTATATTTGTTTGATGTGACACCTTATGCTTGTACATATTGTATTTTTTCAGCGTTTTATTTATTGTTTCTATATAATGGAGAGCTCAAGGTCTGAAAGCCTGACATAACAGATATGAATATATCAGACGTTGTTCATTATATTACTCCGGTTGCTTGACTGTTATTTTGATAGCTCAATATGTTGTAGAGTTAATGCTGCATAAGACGACTTAAGCACTGTAATATGAATTTGACTGTTCTTTATTAATGTTCTAACAACCAATAAATGTTACAATGTAATGCCATGAAATGAAGGTGAGGGTCTTAATCAGAAACTGAAACAGCATCAGCAGTGAGCACAGTTAATATAGCTTATAATCTAAAGTGCTTGTTATTGTAATATGTAAAATATCCAGTAGGTTTCCAGTTGGGATCCTGTTCAGTGTTAGTGAAGACGGCCCATGTGGTTTTAAACAGTACACATCACTCTGTATCATTTACCTCACCACAGAGGTTTGGCAACCCAGTCCAGATGTTTCCTGGCCTAAAGATGAGTTCAGTGGAACATTGTGCCCCATAAAGAACTAGTTCAGCCAAAAATGAAAATTACACAATTGCACCCTCACCACAAAAGTGGTCTGTCAGCCAAGACATGTTTTGTGTCTGAGCTTTGCTTCTTAGTTTTTTACTGGAGCTACAAGGCTGATGTAGCTCACAAGTGATGTATCATACATATCATACAGTTACATGATTTGAAAAGCAACATAATTTGAACGTAATTAGTTTCATTAAATGACAGAATACGATTGAGTTCGGCATGTTTAAACGAGCTGCACCGAGCTTATAGAGGGCATCGTAATGCATTCAATTGACAAGTATTACAGTTTCAGTATTTCCTATGTGAGCCTATATTGGCTTTGAGTGGGGCGTTTTACAAAGTAAGTAAGTAAATTTTATTTATATAGCGCTTTTTACAACAGGTGTTGTCACAAAGCAGCTTTACAAGGAAAAGAGCATTACAAAAAGAAATCCGGGTCCGAGCCCCCATGAGCGTCGCCAGTGGCGACAGTGGCAAGGAAAAACTCCCTAAGAGAAACAGGAAGAAACCTTGAGGGGAACCAAGACTCAGAAGGGGAACCCATCCTCCTCTGGTCGACACCGGATAGTAAACATTGTTAGTATAAAGTATTATAGTACAAAAACGGGGAAAACAGGTGGAGCAAATGATTAATTTGAATAGTTTAGTTCACGCAGCAGCAGCAGCAGCAGCAGCGGCATCAGTGGGGTCAGGTTGTGAGGGTGAGGTTTGCACGGCGAGCAGTGGCACCTGATCAAGGCAGAAGAGGCAGCAGCATCAGACGCACAGGATGGGCAGCTGTTCAACTCGGCAAAGGAAAGAAAGGAAAAACACACAGAGTCAGTTCTGCAATGGGTGATTGATTAATTTGAATTAGTTTAAATGATTGATTGGTTCAAGTGAATAATTTTGATTAGTTCATGTAGCAGCAGTAGTATCAGTGGGGTCAGGTTGTGAGGGTGTAAGGCTTTTGCTGGGACATCCAGCCAGCAGGGCATTACAGTGATCTAGCCTTGAAGTAATAAATGCATGAACTAACTTTTCTGCATCCTGTAGAGAGAATGCATTTCTCAATTTAGCAATACTGCGGAGATGCAGGAAGGCTGTTCTAGTAATATTAGTTATATGTGCGTCGAAGGACAGATCAGGGTCTATAATGACACCAAGGCTTTTTACAGATGAGCTTGATGCAACTGAGAAATTGTAAAGTTTAAGTGTTAAATCAGACAGTCTGTTTCTAGCTGCTTTAGGACCGAGAAGCAGAACCTCTGTTTTATCCGAGTTTAGAAGGAGAAAGTTACTCGACATCCAGTCCTTTATGTCTTTTATACAGTCTTCAATCTTGCTAAGTTTAATTCTATCATCTGGGTCGCTTGCTAAAGTAGCCCGGTAGCTTATTTGT